CTTCCAGCTCGCACTGTTAAACGCATTTTTGACGTCAAGGGTGACAACCGGGCAGTATTTCTTAGTACCACCCAACCACCGCTTGCCAGCAATGGCCTTTTCAGCGATTGCTTTAACTACACCGATTGCGTCTGTAGGTGAACACCTTTTTCTGAAGCCGAATTGGTTTTTAGATAGATGAATCTCTGTGGCCTCTTCGAGTCTACGTTTTATAATATGCTCGAGTACCTTACCGGTTGAGTCCAGCATGCACAGTGGGCGATATCCAGCAGAAGAAGTAGGGTTTTGGACCTTTGGTATGAGTACCAGCTTCTGGAGCTTCCATATGTTTGGGAATATTCCTTCGCGAAGGCATGAAGTAAAGACGCTGGCAAATACTTCCGGATTGCAAGCAATCGCCTTTTTTAGGGCTACGTTTGGTACTCCGTCAGGTCCTGGNGGAGTCCAGCATGCACAATGGGCGATATCCAGCAGAAGAAGTAGGGTTTTGGACCTTTGGTATGAGTACCAGCTTCTGGAGCTTCCATATGTTTGGGAATATTCCTTCGCGAAGGCATGAAGTAAAGACGCTGGCAAATACTTCCGGATTGCAAGCAATCGCCTTTTTTAGGGCTACGTTTGGTACTCCGTCAGGTCCTGGTGCCTTGTTAACGGCTATCTCGCCTCCCGCACTTGTGACCTCTTCTACCGTTACCTCCGGGACGGTACTAGTAGGTTCCTCACAGAGTTCCCNTCATATGTTTGGGAAGATTCCTTCGCGAAGGCATGAAGTAAAGACGCTAGCAAATAATTCCGGATTGCAAGCAATCGCCTTTTTTTAGGGCTACGTTTGGTACTCCGTCAGGTCCTGGTGCCTTGTTAACGGCTATCTCGCCTCCCGCACTTGTGACCTCTTCTACCGTTACCTCCGGGACGGTACTAGTAGGTTCCTCACAGAGTTCCCGCGTGAACGTTGTATGTGCGGGAAAGAGATCGTGTACGATTTGTGCAAGGAGCGTGGGGCATGTTGGCTGTACTGTATGCTTAAATTTTTTGAGCACAAGTTTGTAAGCAAACCCGAAAGGGTTGCTGATCAATTCATATCAGATGTCTTTAAACATTAGCTTTTTGCTGTCATAGATAGCTTTCTTAAACAGCTTTCGCTTTTCCTTATAGTCCATCCGGAGATGAGTAGCATTTTCTGTGTTTCGTGAGCGCTGGCAAACTCTTCTGGCACGGTTACATTGTGTTCGTAACGCGGCTATCTCGTCGTTCCACCAGTAGGCTGGCTTGCGAGCTTTATGCCGGTTTTGGCGCACCATAGCTACATCACAAGCCTCAACAATGGCTTTCATGAGCTCAGGTGCTGCGGCTACTGCCGGGCCTGAAACGTGCGTATTGCTGAAGGCTACCTCGAAGAGTTTTTCGTCAAAGCTTTTTACCTTCCATCCGAGGCGTCTCTTGGGAGGGGCTATGTCGATAGCTGGTTTCTCGATGGTTATTATTATTGCCCTGTGATCGCTATGGGTGTAGCAGTCGCTGATATGCCAGGTGGCATCCCTGCTCAGCCCACTGCTTATAAAGGTCAGGTCGATAATGGATCCCCTTCCGTTCCTACAAAAAGTGTTTTCGGTGCCAGTATTCAGCAGAATAACATTAAGTGCTGCTAGAGCATCGAGTAATTGTCTACCCTTTGCGTTTGTTCTTCTGCATCCCCACTCTACTGCCCAAGCGATGAAGTCTACTGCCCAAGCGTTGAAGTCTCGCAAACTAGCTCGTCGATGATGGCTGTAAAGCTAGCCAGATCAGTGC